CCCAGATTTAGACTACAATTATTTCTGTGTTAGTATTGCCAAAAATATCTTTGCACAATTAGAAATTGTTGTACATAACAGTTGGTTTCCTCCAAAGAGGGCTGCTATGTATGTGAAATTGTGAAGTTGTTTGGATTGCTTCTTATTTGATGTGTGAGTAGTTTATTCAGTAAGCAATTATTGAGTCTTTCACAAATTAGAAATGTTATACCTATTAAGGTATAAGAATGTACAAACGGCAGTTTTTGTGCTTGGTTTCATAGAACACTTGCTGGTGAAATCTGTTGTTCTGGAGTGCTTGCTATGTAGGCAGCATGTGGGATAGTAAATTGTGAGACTAATTTAAAGTAAGATTTTTGATAACATTTTTTCAAATTATGGAAATACTTATTTTAATTGGTTTTGGACATGGACCTGCTTCATTTGAAAAGTAAATGAAAGCAGCTTGCAGAACCAAACATTGTTTTAGCTCTTGCTTGTATGTATTTGAGCTTTGATACCCCTGCTCAGTTTCTTCAAAGTACCATACATGCAATTGATCTGTTAAGGGCTTGGAGTTTTTTGAAGACATTTGGACATGAAGAAGCAACAAGTTGTCTCTCTGTTTCCAAGTTTGAAAGTTGTCTTCAAAGAAAAACATCAGTATAGTTCAATGTTTCTTACTAAGTTACAGTTTGTGCCATGAAGGATGTAACGGGGTTAGTTTTGTGCCTGAACTGAGTTAACTGAATTCCCAGAGTGCTGTCATACATAACTCATGCTGGATTAAACTAAGTAACTTCTTTGGATTCCACTAATAGCTGTCAAAGTGTTGAGATGTGAAGATAAAACCTAATTACTGTGAGAGAGAGGACTTCTCAGATTTTTGTACAGTCAGTAGGGGAAACCTAGTTCTTCTGTCTCCTTGTTAAGTTGTGCTGAATAAATTGGACATCTTTTGCTTTCAAACTTTGTTGGTTTGCAGAATGAAGCATAAGGATCTACCTTTCTGGCAAGCAGGTATAATAAGAGTATTAGACTTAGGTGATGTTACACTGAATTATATCAATGAAAGTTTTTAAGAAGATGCTGTGCTTTAAATGACATTTTCATCAGACATGTTGTCCTCTGATTTTTCTCAATAGGGAGCTCCTGTGGTATCACAGAGGGCACCAAGTGCCAAGAGAGATGAAAATACTCATCAGTTATTCAAGCCTTATTCTACTGAAGTGGAGATGACTTAATAGTTAACTAACTTTCATTTAAAACTAAGCAGTCAAAAAATCTCTACCATTCTTTCAAATCTGGAACTGGTACTCTGCTACTTTTCTGGTTAGAGCAACTCTGCCATCTCTTTTTTTTATATCACTTGTCATTATTCCATTTTTTAATTGCTCATATTTATTTTTATATTACTGTCTGAGCCAGTAAGGCTCTCAGCATTTATTGGCAGTAGTGAAATTGCAATCAAATATCACACTGCTGTAGTACCAGAAATAATAATTAGTATTCTTTACTAAATGATAGAGGAATATACATGCAAGACTGTCTAAATTTGGGCAGGGTTTGGTTGTGGCAGTATGGCTATCTTTGACATGTTTTATGCATCTCCCACATGAAATATTTAATACTGCTTGCTCCTGAGTAATATTTTCTAATACAGTTCTCATTTTGCTGTTAAAGAACTTATTCACACTGGTGCAAAGGAAAGGACAGTTTTTTTTAATCAGTGCAGCTTTGCATCTATAAGAAAACCTGGCTGAGCTCTGCGTTCTAGAATGCAAAAATTGTCAATTTCTTTTCAGTGTGGGACAGTGAGTAAGGTGTCATTTTCAGACTTATTTTGAAGTATTATTATCAAGCTGCAGACATTTTAGTATGAAGTAAAAGCAGATATAAAAAAAAACAAAACAAAACAAAAAAAAACATCAAAACACTCTTCCCAATAAAAAGAACAGAAAAATAAAGGAAACAACAGCAGCAAATAAAAAACTGTTTCTATTTTGCAGTTGACAAGGTAGGTAAAATAGGAGACTGCATCTTCCAGAAGCTCACAGTTAATGCTATGTACACTGCAATGAATTGCTTGGGTTTTTTTGTACGTGTTTTGAATGTTTATGGTTGTGTTACTAAAAGAACTTTTATGAGAATTCCAGGTGTTTGATGTGATTTAGTACTAACATGTAGTGGAAGATGGACACGCAACTCAGGAAAAACTGAGTCAGTTATATATTACGTAATAAATAATTATGATCTAATAACCAGACCTGACACTGACCCGCTCTGTTAATCAAACATGTTAAATGTTTAAACAGAAAGTGCTTCACAAGGTGATGTAATTACCTCTGTCTGTAGAAAGGTGATGGAACAGCTTGTTCTGGATATCCTCTCCAAGCAATTGGAAGGGAAGTTTGTCAGGAGTAATCAACGTGGATTCACCAAGGGGAGATCATGCTGGACCAACATGGTAGCCTTCTATGGCTGGTAGGGGGAGAGTAATGGATATTCTGTACCTTGCTTTAGCAAGGCATTTGACACAGTGTCTCCACAACATCCTTGCTAGGAAACTTAGAAAGTGTGGGACAGATGGATGGATGGTAGGTGGATTGAGAACTGGCTGACTGGCAGAGCTCAGGGTTGCCATCAGCGGCGCTGTCTGGTTGGTGACCTGTAACTAGCAGTGTTCCCAGGGGTCAGTGCTGGATCTGGTCTTGTTCAACATCTTCATCACTTCTGTGGCAGCTCAGAATCTGAGGGCTATTGCTGCTCGGTATATTGTATGTTTATCAAAACCATGCCTTTTACTTGGACATCAGGAGAGAGCATAAACCAGTCCTAGGCCGAAGTTGGCAGTTGCTTTGTTCCATAGCAGTGTAACTGTACAGTGCAGGAGCTTCTGTTGGTGATAAGTCGTGCTGTGTATTGGAAGAAAGGAAATCTGTCACATCAATTGTGGTGCTGGGGAGGCTGTGGGACAACTCTTATGTGACAAATAGTTCAGAGCTGGATTCAGCCTACTGTGCTGTTACATATTTCATTTAACCTACTAGGCAGAAATGGCTTCCAGTTGTGTCAAGGTAGTTTTAGGTCGGACGTTAGGAAACACTTCTTTACAGAAAAGAGTGGTTAAACATTGGAATGGGCTCCCCAGGGAGGTGGTTGAGTCAGCGTCCCTGGATGTGATTAAGAGCCGTTTGGATGTGGTACTTGGAGATATGATTTAGCAGAGGGTTGTTAGAGTTAGGGTACTATGGTTAGGATGCGGTTGGACTTGATGATCCTTGAGGTCCCTTCCAACCTGAGTAATTCTATGATTCTATGATTCCAAATGGATTCATTACACAGTAGTGAAAGTACAAAATATTTTATTAGTCTTCTATTTAAGTTGGAACACACCTCTAGAAGTCATCAGTTTCAGTCCTTGGCTGAAAATCGAGCGAGCATCAAAATCATAGAATCATAGAATCATAGAATCACCAAGATTGGAAAAGACCTAAAAGATCACCCAGTCCAATCGTTCACCTATTCCCAATAGCTCCTACTAAACCATGTCCCTCAACACAACATCCAGTCTTTCCTTGAACACCCCCAGGGTCGGTGATTCCACCACCTCCCTGGGCAGTCCATTCCAGTGCCTGACCACCCTTTCTGAAAAGTAATACTTCCTCATGTCCAGCCTGAATCTCCCCTGCCGTAGCAGGGAGCGTACTCGGATGCTTATTAAAAAATTATGTAAGATTGCTCAGAGCCTTATCCCATTGCATCTTGAAGATCTGCAAGACTAAGTTTCTACTTCCTGTACAGACACTATGTTCCAGTGCTTAACAACTTCCCCTGGGATAGTCCCATTTTCACAACACCCTATCCACATCTCTAGAGTAACATATGCTCCTTCTATTTGCTACATGTCTTTTTGTTGTTGAGAAGTTTGGTTCTGTATTCAGCTGTCTTAAGTGGCTTTATGGAGAAGAAAGCAATTACATCCCTCCAGCAGTCTTTTCAAGATTAAATAGTCCTCTTCTTGTAGCTTACCCTTTAGTGCCATACAAACCAGTTCCTTATTCATGTAAGTGGCATGCTACTGTTTTTGTCTTGCTAATTTCATTTTTGGGATGCTTAGGGGAAGAACACAAGGTAATGAGATACAGCCTCATGGATACATACAGCTCAGTTGTCTAACTTCTTGAGGATCCTTTGAACAAGCAAACACCTTTGCTCTTCCAACACTTAGACTGCTTCCTGGCCTCTAGAACTGATATTGCCTTAATTTAATGACTTAATGCAGATGTATTCTATCCTGATGTTCAGGTCAACAATGAAGATGTTAAATAGTGTTAAACAAATATTGGCTTCTGAAGATTACTTCTTGTAACTAGCTTGCATCTACCCTTACATTTAGATGGGCCATCTAGACGATGTTTTAGACATCTTGAAATCATTCTTTATTCAATGTGGTACAAAGAATACTACAATGATATTGAAGACCTTGCTAGAGGCACAGTAAATTACATAATTGTTGTTCTACATCCACAGAGCCAGCTGTTTCCACATTAAAGCATTACCAAGTAACTTAGAGTTGGTAAATCCTTCCTTGTTTTTGCCAGTCACATTCTTGTCCTTCAAGGACCTGGAAATGGCTTCCAGGAATATTTGCTCTATCAATTAGTCTGAGGAACAAGGTGAAGCTGGCAGCCCCCCCACCCCCTTTTTGTTGTTTTTTTTTTTTTTAGTATGCTTTTAGGCAATCTTTATGCTTTTAGAAACGCCATCAGGTTGTCTGAAGTTTATTGCTCTCATGCACAAAAAGAACAGCTTTGCAGGGTTGAGTGATTTCTTGTCAAAATACCTCAATTTTGAAACTTAGCTAGAAGCATTTAGGTCTTTATGTTAAAAATAATTTGTAATGTGTTTGGAACAATTGAAGTTCTTTGTATTGGTTAGGTATTTGAAGTGTAGAAACAAAAATTGCATGTGTTCTCAAAGATGAGCAAAAATGTAATGAATTTCCATTTATTTTTCAGGAGCTGGTGAATCAGGGAAAAGCACAATTGTCAAACAAATGAAGTAAGTATAGTAAAATACAATCATAGAGAGAGATTTTTTTAATTTGAATAGAGAATTTATTTTTTTTTCCTTCCATAGGATTATCCATGAAGCCGGTTATTCAGAAGAAGAATGTAAACAGTACAAAGCTGTTGTCTACAGTAACACCATTCAGTCAATTATTGCTATCATTAGAGCAATGGGGAGGTTGAAGATAGACTTTGGTGATCCAACCAGGGCTGTGAGTATTGAAGTAAACATGCACGTGTACAGCTGAAATATCCATTCTTTTTCAATTTCTGTCCATTGTTAATTCCTGGAAAATCTCTTCATATCCAACAGGCCTTGTAAGCTAGAAGGTTTGATAAAGAAGAAATTTCGTTTAGTTTCCTACGTGAAGTAGAAGTGCTCTATTGAGCAATTAACTCTGGGTTGATTTATGACAACTATTTTGTTTAGATACAGTCCTCCAAATTCTATGTAAATCTGAATCTTAGGGATTTTTTGAAAAATAGTAAGCTTTGTAGTTGTACTTCTTAATTTTTATTTGTGGGCTGCTATAAGTCCTTCAAGATGGACATCTTTGCTTTCCTTAACAAAACACAGATTAAACAGGTACGCATGTAGCTGTTCTCTGCACTTCAGAATTGCACCACAGACACAGTAGTGCCTAAAATGTTCTTGCCTGTGGTTTCATATTGACTACTAGTGCGGATGACTTTACTGTACTCTAAGGCACGGGCATTGTGCTGCTGCTGGTGCTCAATTTTTTTCATGATAGCACATGAATTAAGGATTTTTCCCCAAAAAATAGTTACCCATTTCCAGGCTTTCTTGTACAGTTTTCATCTCTTTTCATCCACTTATTGGAGGCGGTCTGCAGAACTTTTTGCTTATCACTTCACAATTCCAAACCCTATATTCTTATTGGTGGTGAACTTGATTGTGTCCCTATCAGATCAGGAGGATAGATGCTGTTTGTAAAATGTAGATATGTTTATGTACATATGTTAATTCTGTGTGAAATCTGCTTAATTGTAAATCAACTATGTAGATCACTCTGAAAGTAATGCCTCCCACTTATTTCCATGGAAACTACAACAGATACAAAGAGCACAGTAACGTTATTTGATAGAGCAAATTCTCATTTACTAAACACTACTTTTCAACAGTCACCACCATGAGCTGAGCTTTATTGTCAGCAGTGAGCAAGAGGCTACATTCCACACTTGTAAAAATCTGCATGGTTGTTCGTAACATGGATTGCCTTTCATGTCTGTCACCACTGCTGAAATGCACCACCTACTGCCTGCCTTACTGTACTCACATTCACTGTTTGGTCTCCATAGATGTTCAGCAAGCATCAATGAATATCAGTGAGTGCAGTTTCTTCACATGGAGAAATTTAGTCACACACCTTTTCTTCATGCACACTTCCATGTCAGACTTCCTCTCCGCTACCATCTGTCTCATGGCAACAAAATGTAACGGGATGTGGGTGTGGAAAGTTCAACCTCTACTGCCATACCATCACCATCCGCCTCTCACATAGTGGGCCAATATACTAAAATAGGAGGCGTTACTTTTGGAGTAGTCTTCTCGCTTTGTTTTCATGCTTTCTGTTGTCTTACCTTCAGACTAAAGATTTTCAGGGCAGGAGCAGGATGTGAATACGTATTAGTTCATCTGTCTAGTGAATTCCTCTTGGATGTCTGACAGTTTATGTTGGAAAAAGGTGGATGGTGCATTTCTGTTACTAAATACTAAATAAAATAAAATGGAGGAGAGAGTAAGTGTAGATTTTATCAGATAAAAGGACTGACAAGAAGATTGTGAAAATGTTCTACGTGTGATATGAATTCAAACTGATTGGAATTTTTCAACTTCAGAGAACTGTATAACTGAAGGCGAACTTCAGTCAGGGATAATAATGAAATAACTGGCTGTTCCCTAGCATTTAAGCAGATCTTGGTGATCTGAATTCTTTTTGCAGAGCAACACTGCTATTGAAAGTAATTATTAGACTTGAAATAATTTCAAAATGAGAAATCGAAAAAGGAATCAAAAGCTTGTGAGTTACAAGTCTGCCTTTCTAGAATATATATGAATGTTCTTCATTGTATTTAATGTAGGCTTTTAAATTTTATTTGATTTTATTATCATTTCTACAGAAGAAAAAATGCAAAATTGCAATATCGTGAGGAAAACTGTTATACAGACTCTTCCTTAGTTTTTTGAGTTGAAATTTTGGAGATTTTACTCTGAATAAGATAAATATGTTTGGAAAAATGACTGCTCTTCTGTTGTCAGAATAGTTGAATGTTTTCTTTTGTGAAACTACTGAATCAGGAAAGCACAAGTTCTACCAGGAACTTTGGTAATGCTCCATCCTAGGATTAGCATACTTTTCTTTATCCTACGGAATATTTCCATACTGTTCCAGAATCCATATTTTGAGAGACATTTAGTGAATGTGGTTTAAATGAGAATGGACTACCTTCAGTCCGTTGACATTTGCTGCATTTATCTTCAGAAAAGGCTAAATGAGTTTCTATAAGGTGGCTCATTTGTGGAATCTTATATAAAAAGTCCTTGAGAGGAAGCAACCCTAGTGCAGTGTGATTAAAGGAAAGCATCTGGCATTCGTTAATAATGAAAATAGGACTCGGTTATTATGTACTCCCTCATTTGTGGCATCTGTGTACTTGCCTTCTGTAGAAAAGGGATATGGGGGTTAACAGATGCCACCTAACAGAACTTAATTCATTTCCTGTCCCTTCTTGTTACTGCCTCTTACACCCTCCCAATAAAAACAAATGCAGTCTTAGAACACATAGAGGTTAGAGCTATTTCAAAAAGAATGAGTTTTGTATATTTGAAAGTCAGACTATAGCAGATGTGAAATGACATTTTGAGAGTTCGTGACAAGACAGACTCAGTTTCTAGTATGTATCTGCTGCTTCTGTTAATTGTATATTGGTGTTTTCATCCAGAAACATTCAGTTGCCATTCAGGTTTCTTCTATGCAAGCATATTGCTTAAGCTACAGTCAGTGAGATCTAATTATCCTGCTTTTTGATCTTCACTGCTCTGTTTTTTATGTAATTATTAGTGCAATCTACTGCACTTTTACTAGCTCCTATGGTTTGGCCAATGTATATATTGTAATCAGCATACTATTCGTAAGTTTGATAAATCTACATTTTTAGATTTGTAGCTCTCAATGGATGATATATCACTTAGCTGTTTGTTCATATGTATGGCTACATGTGTATTGTTATGGTTTAACCCAGGAGCTAATCACCAAACAGCCATTCACTCAGTCCTCTACCTCCTGTGAGATGAGGTATAGAATTAAAAAAAATAAATAAATACAAAATGAAACTCTTGGGTTGAGATGAAACCTGAGACAGAAAAGGATGAGAAATTATTTCTATATATATATGTACACACACACGTATTTACAAAACAAGTCATGTGCAGTGCAGTTGCTGATTACCTGCAGATCAGTCAGTGTCCAGCTGGTCCACAAGTAGAGGCTGTCTCTTTTGGCCAGGCTAGATTCTCACAGTTACATAGGACTTTTTGCCTGATGGTATGGAATATCCATTTGGCCATTTTAGTTCCCTCCCAGCTCTTTTGCTGGGCTTTATGAGAAGCTTAAAGATCCTTGGCTCTGTGCAGCACTGCTCAGCAGCAACTAAAACATTGGTGTGTTATCAGTGTTTTTTTCCTAAAGCCAAAATATAACACCAGACTATGAGGAAAGCCAACTCTTTCTACAGAAACTGTGACGTGTACACACAGATACAGATAAATATCTTCAAATCTGCATTAAGTTGACTATAGAGCAAACTTTCTAAGTTGAGAATATTTAAGCCTAAAGTGTTCAGTCTCTTCAGAACAATCATTACTTTCTATGCTTATCCTAAAATGTTATCTGCATATAACAGGAAAAGTGATCGAACCTTTTTTCCTACAGATTTGCATTGTATCTTCACTTACTGTTCTGTGAGAATTAACTTTACAACTTGCAGTTTAAATCCTCTTCATTCTTGAAATATTTTCAGTTCCTAGTTGATGTACCTAAGCCCCTCTGTTTTCCCTGTCCTCCATTCTAGTATCATCTCCCCATTCTTTCATTTAGTGAACAAACAGGACATGTGGGTAGTAGTTATAAACCATAAGTGCTTATTTTGCTGACTGACATACCTTGTCAGTATATCACATACAGCTGGTAACTAATGTCAGTCAGCTGCCTTCTGGGGAGTACCGGCTTGCAAATCTGTTTCTTCTGTCCAGCTGCTATGTTCTTTTTCCAATGCCTTACAGATTTAATATTTTTAGTCTCTTACCTGAGTTAAAATTGGACAAGTTAGACTGACACAAGTTAGACAGAGCTGTTCAAGTTCTGTTAAAGCTGAAACTTGGCTGGTGAATTGACATCCTACAGGATGTCTTGCTTTCACAGGCAGTCATTATAAAAATGCACCATTTGCTGTTGTTCTTAAGAACAAAACAAAATAAAACAACACCTTGATTATTCCTAGACATGTAGTTGTCAAGAAAACTTGGTCTCAGTAATTAAGATAATGAATATTTTAACTGTTTTATCTGGAAAAGTTTAAGAGTATTTTTCTTTGCTAATGAATAATCGTTTGTCACAGTCAAATTGTTTTTTGAAGTTTTAGTGATTAATATGTATTCTGCAGTCAGTCTATACATCTGCATATCTGAAGGTTCTAATATGTATTGTAACTGTTCTATTCAGTTTGAGGGGTATGGCAGTAAAATAAGGTTAATGTTAGACTTCAGCACAAAATGTATAAAATGTTTGTGTTTATAGAAACTCAGTTCAAGTGATAAACTGATCAGAGTTTTTATCAGCTGATGCAAAATTCACTGAACTTGTCTTTTTCTGTTGTTGGAGAGAGTGTGAAGTAATATGCTATACTAATACTTACTAATTGCTTTCCTTCACATTTTTTGTTTGGTTATAATCATGTATACCAGCTTATGTAACTCATTCCTTTGCTGAATGTAGTTTTTATTCTTAGGTGATAGGGGAATTTAATATACATTTTGTTGTTTTTCTCAATGTTTATCTCTCCACTTTCTATTTACATCGTAAAGGATGATGCTCGTCAACTCTTTGTGTTAGCTGGAGCAGCAGAGGAAGGATTTATGACTGCAGAGCTTGCTGGTGTTATCAAAAGACTATGGAAAGACAGTGGAGTACAAGCTTGTTTCAACAGATCTAGAGAATACCAGCTTAATGACTCTGCTGCCTAGTAAGTACTAATGTGACATACAAGGCTCTCTTCTGTTTTCTAAGTAGCAGCTAAAAGAACTTAAGAGAAATGTAACCTTTTAAATAATTCTGCTCCCACATAGATGGAAAACCTAGAAATCTCTAGCCAAAGATATTGTATAGTTGGATCACAATGCTAGATGCAACTAAAAGTTTGAGTTGTTCTCTTTACAACTGTTTCCAAAATAACTTGGGTTTTAGTTGTAGTACAACGTACATTAATTTCCTACAGAGCTATTCAAGGGTGAAAGTGCTAATGCAAAGAACACTGGTAAATGTAGAACCGTGTTGAAGTATAGAGCCATGTTTGCTTTCTGGGATTTCAAAATACTAATTCTTTGTAGTAGAATCAATCATATGAGTTTTCTTCTAGAATGAAAGTGTCTCTAAAACTTCATTTTAAAAAAGAAGTGGAAAATTAGATCATTTTCCTCTTAATCTTGTATCTCAGAGAAAATTGTTCATATAAAAGTCATGCGTGGTGTAATGAATAGACCTAGAACTCATGTAATTTTTTGCAATTATCTAATTACTATTTTATGAATAACTGAATGCAGTATTTATTTTTACCTCCAGTTACTTGAATGATTTGGACAGGATAGCACAAACAAGCTACATTCCAACTCAACAGGACGTTCTCAGGACTAGAGTGAAAACTACAGGAATAGTGGAAACTCACTTTACTTTCAAAGATCTTCATTTTAAGTATGTAAATTGTTCTGTGTGTTCATCTGTCTATTAACAGCTTTTGTAAAGTTCTCATGGATGGACTTACAGTGATTCAATTTAACAAGTTTGTGTAATCATAGCTAATTATTTTATTATTTTTCTTTTTACTGGAAAATTCCTTGCTGCTTGGATTAGTTTTCTGAAAGCATATGGGAATTGTTTGAATTTCTATAACAACTCAGAATAAATACGGCAATATTAAGTAATAAATGCTTTTGTTTTTATTTCAAGCTTTTTGGAAAGTTTATTTTCTGTGTAAATCACATTTTGAAATATTCAGTTTTGTACTATGTTAACATGTAGCTGTTCTATCAGATTTTTCCCTTTAAATTCAGTTGGAGAGCTGGAGATTTAAAAATATTTGTTGCTCTGGTTATGAAACAGCAAATCCTTTTTTCCTGGAGAACTGAGTTGAAAGCTGTACTTTAGGTTTTTTTAAGGTAATACTTTATTTACTGATGTAAATTACTGTGAATAAATTTTTTCCTGACACAGTTTTTTACCAAATAATGCTAGTATTCTAACCATTTTGTGTCCAAAGACATTCATTGTGAAACTGTAGGATAGTATAAATGTAACACTATTGTATCTATTCTTTACTAGGAAAATGTAATGGAAGCTCAGTAAAATTCTCATTGCATATATGCTTTAGATTGTGTGGAGATAGTTGTCAGCACATCTATACACATTCTGATTTCTAAAAATAACTAATTGAACCTCATCAAATACAATTTAATTTACTTATCTGATACACCAAATCAGTAGGTTTTCTGTCTACCCATGTACATCATGGGTTCCTCCTCTTCCTCCTCTTACAACCTGAGGAAAGCAGAAAATCAAAGAGAAAAGTCAGTTTTTTAATAAATATGAGCCTTTCCAGAGCCTCTTATCTTTTGAGATAGGTCGAAAGAGGTTACAAAAAATATTTGTCAAATAAGCCTTCCTCAAGTTTAGGGCCTGGGGAGTAGGGAAGCAATCAACTTGTATAACCTTAAAAGAAAAAACATAACAAGAAAACAATAACAACAAGAGAACAAAAAACAAAAACAAGCAGTGAAAGAAATATCAAAAAGTACCTACAGTACCTACTGTCCTTTTGGCCTATATCACATTTTTTTTATGTGTGCTGGAGCTATGTTCTCAGCTTAAATAATAGAAGCAGAACATGTCAAATCTTGCAACACTAGCTTTAAAAAGCATTGTGCTAACTTGTGCTTGCACAAGTCCTTAAATTTGCACAATTGCTGATAAACCATTCAGAAACCAGCCCATACAACTAAGTAACAAAGATAAGTGTGGTGATGACTTGAACAACCATCTGCAGTGCTTTAAGCTTAGTTCAGTGAAGTAATTTGTCTTAATATATTGACAGTCACTATGCAATCTTACCGGAAAATTCTGTATTATTTAAGTAAATGAAATGGAAGTTCTTTAAAGCATTTATTTAATGACATCATCCTTTAGATAGGGCATGTGGATTCAGCTCTTACAAACTTTAATTTTTTCAGTACTGCCTTGTATTTTTTTGTAGTTCACTGTAGACAGTAACTTAAGTGCATAAGCAAAATACCTTTTTTTAGAGTAGCCAAATTGCACTGAGATGTTCAGTATTAAGGCAGAGGACAACCTTGCACACTGTACTCCCATATTGCGAGGAGGTATCTGTAAAGCATCCAAGATTCTCATTCTTTCAAAACTCTTTGAAATTTATCTGTATATCAGGCAGTTTCTGTCAGTGTCTTGGTGTGCTGAGACTGTGACTTACCAGATCTCTGTGTTCACAAATAAGGCTTTCATGGTAGTTGCTGGCCAAAGTGGATGGAAAAGCTCTGTCCTCAGTTCTTTCTCGTCTGTCTTCTCCTTCCCATGTTTTTATACTTACTGAATTTTAAGCTTTTTCATAGTAATGCCTAAAAAAGTTAAGGTTACAGGAAAAATTGCTGAAGACAAAAGTCAGGCCTCTATTAAAAGGAATAATTGCATTTCCTTGTAACAACAAGGAAAAATCCAATATTTGCATGGTAAAATACTGGCTACCATCGCTAAGGAAGGCATATGGTGACCTTTTCACAGTTTTTAAGCTGAAAGTAATCACAAGAATTTGAGACAAGACTCTTCTTTGTGTGGTAGAGAGGAGACAGATGGAAAAGGGCTGCGTTCTGTTTTTTTGAGAAAATTCAGCGATTTGCATCCATTTTAGGGTAGCACTACTGTCCCCTTATTTGGTTGTGTTTTGCTGCTGCTGTTTTGTTGCTTGGTTGTTTTGTTCTGTTTTTCATGACTTAGTTCTTTAAATCTAGAATACTATTTTTCTGGCTTGCGAAATACTTGAAGTTCATTTAATTAAGATGTCTAATAAAACATTCAGTCTTTCAGATTCACTGTAGCTCAGATGTTAGGAAATAGTCCTTAAAGCATTTAGATAAGAGATAAAAGCAAATTCATGTGAACTGTGCTGACTTGCTGATCCTCTGCTGTTAAGTTCTTGTGTGTGGTCTTTTCCTATCATGTTGTTTCTGATCAGCTGGGAATTGAAAACAAGCATCTTTATAGTTTAGTTGTCCCATTTAACTGCATTTCCAAAGAGTTCCTTTATTAGAGGGGAAATTACTAGTCTTGTATGATACCTGTTTTGTCTTTAAGAAGAGAATGTTGAAAATAATATTTAGTGTCACTTAAAAATTCTTTTTAAAGGTAGTCAGCTGAAAAGCTGATCAAACTGTGATTTTGTTTAACAGAGATGAGCTGAAGCTCACAACAATTTAGAGACAGCTAAATTTGAAAAACTGAGAATTATATTTTATGTATTTGGATTTGGATTCAGAACACAGAGACAACAAAAAATATTATTTGAACAAGTTTAATAGAGTAGCATTTTTTTCAAGTACTAAACATAGTGAATTCTGCTCTTACATTTAAAGAATTTTGTATTGTTGACTTTTTATTACTTAGGACTGTTCATTTGGGAAAAATATTGAAGAACTTCATGAAAGCTTGCATTTGGTTAAGTTAACTGTGCTTTTATAGGTTATACTTGACTTTGTTAATTGAATTATTTGTAATAATAGATCTTTTTAAAAAATAAGTAGATTTATATTGCTTTCATATCACTTGGTCATGTTTTGTGAAATGTAAAGGAAGATTTCTAAGTCCTAAGTAACTTGAAGTTGTTTCTTACACTAAGAAATGAAATTGTAATAAATGTTGCAGATTTTATGCTGTTTTTCAAAGTTCAGGCTTGCACAGCTGATGTGTTCAGATTTTATCACTTAATATTCAGAAAGCTGGAAAATCCAAAGTTCATTTCCTGCCTTGTGTTTCTGTTTTGCAGAATGTTTGATGTTGGAGGCCAAAGATCAGAACGGAAGAAGTGGATTCATTGTTTTGAGGGTGTTACAGCAATTATTTTCTGTGTGGCATTAAGTGATTATGACTTGGTCTTGGCTGAAGATGAGGAAATGGCAAGTACCTTAATGTTAAAGAAAGGAATAGTTGTTAGGAACTAAGCGTTTTGCAAGGGAAGCTAAATACCTCTTTCACAATAAGAAGCTAAATACTTCTTTGATAGGGTACATGGGCTTTTTGTAAAAGTTTTCAGAGAACTAGTGATAGATTTTGTGCTTTCAAGTTTCAAAAATAATTTCTTTATTCTTGGGAGTACTTTGAGATGAGTACTCTTCTGATGTATTCTTTCATATACTTCGAATTATACCTAAGCTAATGAGGATGTCAGTAATACATGTCCTTGTCTCTATGGATAATCAAAGTATCAAAGAAGTTGGTTTGCTTATCTGTCTCTGTGTTTTGTTACCCTCCCTCAGTCTTCAGTTTTTTGTGTCTTTATAAATATTTTACTCCAACCTCTTTCCTTAGTTATAGAAATCCTTCTTTTCTCTCTCTTCAAATCCCTTTCTATCCTTTCTCTTCTTTCAAGATGTGACTCCTCCCACGTCAGTACATACAGTGTGTGTGCTTTTCATTTTCTGGGTAGTCTAAAGCGATGCTGATCTGTTGTATAAATCGTTAACAAGTTTCTGTTATTCCTAATGTTCTGCAGCTTCATGTAAAATAGTTGGAAGGAAAGAAAAACAAAAACGGAAGAAAAACACTTTCGAGTTAAATCTAGTCTAAATAGATCATACCTGCCATCTACTTAAGTGTCTGGAAGTAGTGGCAGAGTACTTACATATTTGATAATTTTTCTACAGCGTCAAAATTAGGGTAACTTTTTTTTTTTTTATGAAACCCAACAGCTTTTTCATTTAATTCTCTAGTTCTATAGAACTACTGATTTTTCATTATATTGGAATCTTGACTGTGTACTGAAGTTAATTGTCAGTTTTCAGAATATCTGATAAATATCAGGCAATTTCTGATCACTCAGAGAGTTTTCTAGAATATCATTGTTGCAAAATGTGAAAATGCACCAAAATTTCCTAACAAACTAAAAAAGACTTAAGCCTGGAAATGGAGAAATGGCCTTCAAGATCATCAAGTCCATTAAATTTTATTTGGCCTCTGTATATATCTCTGTGGTAATATGTGATTCTGCATGCTGGAAACTTAAGTTTTTAAACTTTTCTAGTTGTAACTAATCAAATAGATTTATCCTGGTTTTTCTTCTAAACTCTGATAAAATACAATAAAGTCTGTTTGTTTGTTTGTTTGTTTGTTTTTCACCCAAATGACAGAATCGGATGCATGAAAGCATGAAATTGTTTGACAGCATCTGCAACAACAAATGGTTTACAGACACTTCTATAATTCTTTTCCTGAACAAGAAAGATCTTTTTGAAGAAAAAATCAAGAGGAGTCCTCTCACTATTTGCTACCCTGAATATGCAGGTATTGGAAATGGAGTAGTGTCAAGTAATTTGGGGTTAAATTTATCTTATTTTTGATTAACAAATTTAGAGGAATTTGATAACTGTAGGTGTACAAAATATAAAAATAAAGTTTAATTTCCTAGGAAGATCTTAGGAATCATGAATAAAGGAGTACTGAAGTCAGATTAATCTTCTTAATGAGATTAAATGATGGTGATCCACTGATAGTGCTTAGATGTTACTGTCATCGTGCTTGTCAACCTACTCTGGTTAGCACGTTCTTTTTTCTGTATTCTATTCTTTTCTGCTCAGATGTATTTTTTTTTTTCCCCTAGCAGGAATCCCTGAGGATACATGAGAGTTTATTTGAAGGGAGCATATATACATAGATGTTAGAAGAGGTGGCTTGCTCAGGAAATAAATAACAAAAAAGAATTTTGTTTAAGAGGGCTAAGGCCTTTTATGTATCATTTTCGTTGTAATTTCAGACTGTTCTTTGTTTGAGGAAAAGAAAAACTGTCAAAAACATGAGAAGTGAAAGGGAGTAACTTGAATGAAGGAATCAAATATAGTCTGTGTAATAGTGATAAGTTGTTAATGAGACTTGGTTCATCTACCACTCTTACAAGTACTCTTCCTAGAGCGCTCTTTATTATTAGAAATTTGTCCAGGTTTCCTTCAACAAGATATACATGTTTATTGTAAAGTAGTGTCTGTGAAATTATTTAAATCAACAAACTCCTTTTTAGGTTTTAGTGATTGTTGCAGAGTAAGTACTTCCTTCTAAGATACAGTATACGTTTAGTTCTTCCTTTTTGAAATCTGCTTACTGAGCAATTTTCTCCTTCTAGGTTCAAACACTTATGAAGAAGCAGCTGCTTACATTCAGTGTCAGTTTGAAGATCTTAACAAGAGAAAAGACACAAAAGAAATCTACACTCACTTCACATGTGCCACAGATACGAAAAATGTGCAGTTTGTTTTTGATGCTGTAACTGATGTCATTATTAAAAATAACCTTAAAGACTGTGGCCTCTTCTGAGAACAGACAAGACATTATTAAATGGTAAATTATGTGCCTGAAAAAAGGACTTAGGCATTTGGAATAAGCCCATGTTGTGTGAAACTTGCATAGATATACTTAATTCTCTTTATTTTATTTTTAGGTTTGAAGAATGGCTTCACACAATTCTAATCTGATTGATTTCAAGGTGAAAGATATACAAAATATGTTGTGCTGAATGATAGATCAGTACTGTACTTGCCTGTTTTAACAGCTTTATTTATGTTTGTCTTGTAAATTTAAGTAATTAGGTAACACTGAGATGTCTTTTGACTGTATGTAAACTTGTAGTAATGTATTTGTATAAACGTTGAATGGAATACTTTGGTAACTTGTCCTCTAAAATTTCTGTGGTTTATGAAGATACTCTTAGAGGAGACTTTTTGCCTTTTGGTTATTTAAACATCTTGTAAAATTAATTTTTCTTTTCATCTAGAGGGTGCATGCTACTTTATTCTTTACTTTTTGTTGGTAATACTGTATATGGCACTAGCTTTTTTGATATTTAAACAGCTTCATACACCTGCTCAGATTTAAAGAAACATAACTAATAAAACTTGGGTTGTTTTTTGCCTTAAGTTTTGGGGAAAAAAATTTTTAAATTTAGGTTGAATACAAAAATTATTTTTAAAACTTAAGTGAAATCCACAGCTTATGAAATCTGGATTTTCAGTCTTTGAAGTGCAAATGTGACTATATTGAAAAACTGAATTTGAAGGTTGAAATATCACTGAAGCTCATGGAAATGCAAAAGGAAGTTGTTAAAAACACGCTTGTAGAAATAAAAAGAAAGTTTGAAACTAATCTTTACTCACTGGAGTGAATGGCAATTTTTTTTAGACTTTAACAAAGGCTGGACTTCCGATTAATCTGATTTCTTTCTGCTTAATAATTGAAATGATGTTATCCTTTAACTCTTTGCTATCTTGTGGTAATAAAGCTAAAACTAATTTGCTAATTTAATAACCATAGAGGTATTAGGTTCTCCCACAAGACACAGCCCAGTGTTTTCATAGCTTAAAGCAGTTTACTGTTGTTTTTTAAAAAGAATCTTCAGTATATTGGGTAGGGTGACTTAGTGACTTGGAAGATGCTGATTCTTTCATTTAGTTATGTTTAAAGTCTCATACTTTCATTTAAAAATAAGTTAAAGAATATGATTTTCTTCTGGTTATGCTTTCATTACGTGATTTGGGATTTTAGGTATATATCATCCATTGCCTTATGGTTAGTGCCAAAACTGATTTTTATACCTATTTTAAAACAAATAAGCTTCTATTTGTAAATAAGTTCTTGGATGGTTGTCTTAAATGTATGTCTTCTACATAATACAGACGTACCAAACTTGGAAATATGATTTTCTATAATTGTTAGTATATTCCAGGCAGCTACAGTACACTGTAAGTTTTTTGAGAATGATTCTTTGAATCTGTTGCTATTTTTCTATATTATCTTAGCTTACTGTTCTTAGAAGCGTTCAACCAAGGTATTCAAATCATTGTTCTGTTATTTAATTTTTTATCGCATGAATGTTTCATTAGGCCTTAGCTTGATTGATAGCTTCAATGCTTCCTTTGTTAGGTACAGAATTACTTAAACGTGTTTCAAATGAAAGTTTAGAAGGGAGTTTCTAATTTATTACTGGAGGTTGTTAAATATATTCATACATTATGAGCTCTTTCAGCAGTTGTAGTAAACAATCTGTATATCCTGGGCTGCTTTTAATTGTGCTTTACAGTTCCGGATACATAACTGATTTTAAATTTCATTGAATAACTTTGTGAAAATTGTATTTACACCTACGTTGAACTTGGTTTTTGTACTTGATGTAAAACAGAAATTGGGATTAATCAAATTACATAAATAAATTTAAATTTTGTGCCTTGCTTGAAAGAAATTTTCTTCCTTAGACGTGGTGCATCCATCCTGTAGACACAACTACATAGTAAAACAGAGAAGATAAAAAGTCAAGAGCCAATTCAAATCTTTTATGCCAGAAACAAAACTGAGCATAAACTTAAAACTGTTAGCTAATTCCTAAATGTTTTTCCTCAACACCAATCCTAGCATCTTCGATTTCAGATTTTTAGAATTTCCTAACTGTTGATTTCTTTAATATTAACGTCTTAGCGCAGAACAAAATTGTGAAATAGTTCTGTTTTAAGTCCAGGAATATGAGCTTGTCTTTTATAACATGATGAGTTGACACCTGCTATGTTTCCTTATAGATGCCCTGTAGTGGTCCTTTGTTTAGGTTTATAAATTGCCTGTATAAAAACTTTTCGTATTAAAAGCCCAGTAAATCACTGATCGCATCTGTCCAAACTTTCCAAAAGTGGGTTGCTGATAAAAATTAATTTGTTATGAAGGGGTTTTCAGCTTAAGTATATTAAAAATACTATGCTAAAAAAGTGTTTTTAATTTTTTTTTAAATATTCTAAGAATTATCTATACTGATAGCAAGCACTTTGATTTTCTTCTCAATTTGAATACCTTCATCTTTGAGCCAAATGAGTTCTGCTAATTTTGTTACCTAATAAGACTGCTAATATAAATCCCTTCTTCTTTTCAGGTTGTAATTAGATGATAATTAGATAATTCTAATACGAATTTTTCCAGACTTTCGACTGATATATGACTTTGCCTGAATTTATGAATTTTAGTTATATACTTCTTTAGTATAAGTGCATGCTGCAGTGGACTGATCTACCGTGGTCAAAAGTTTCTGAGGATCTTGTGTAACTGAGTTGATCATTCTTTTTTGTCCTGGGACGAAAGTTTGTCATCTTAACCTATTTGTCTAGGCAAAGCTACAAGAAGGCTAAAATGCAGTGGTGGGAGCTACATGCTTAGCTTCCAATCTAATTGTTATATTGTTATAGGGCTCCACTCCATTTCTGCTTGATCAAGAGGCTCCTTCTCAGTTATAAATAGCCAAAGATGAGGAAATCCTGCTAGTCTGGGGACAGTCTTGTGCTTCAGCAGTCTGAACCTCTGTTCTCTTCCAGTTCTTCATTCCTTGCATTTTTTCCACTCAGAGTATCCTGACAAACTACTTTTTCTAGCAGTACCCAGGGAACCTCCTTCTACTATCTCAGAATATTTCTTAAAATTATCTTAAATTATTCTCAACACGTATAGGGAATTGCAGCCTGATGGAGGGTTCTCTAACGCCAGGATCTTGTGATCATATTGTGAATTGTTGAAGTCTCAGTAAAACAGAGGCATTTCTTTTTAAGAAGGTCATTTGTGAGGGAGTGGGATTTTGAACATTTGGTATGTGGCTTTATGATGCTACCTACTGAATTTGGAATAAGTTTGTCAGCAAATATAGTATCTTTGGTAACCAAAACAGGGTTCAGTGTCAGCATGGAAACAGAGTAGTGTTTGCTGAATTTCAGTTCCTGTTTCCACGTACACAATTAACATCTTCATTTAAATTCATTTTCATTTAAATTCTACATAAAACCTGAGGGGGGGAAAAAGATCAATCTGCAGCCTGCTGAACAGCATGATTCAGCTGGTAAGCATTTAGAATTGGGAAGAGTGAAGAAAGTTTCTTTTTCAAATCAAGCAAAAAGGAAACCCTACCAAGACACTGACGATCCTACTGTGTGGAAGTCTCTCGAAGCTATTGTATCTCATATGAATAATTAATAGCCTCTGAGTCAAAGAGTAATAATAAAGTTGAAAATTTCAATTCCATACCTCTTTCATTTCAACAAAATGTTGCAACAAGAAGTTGTAAAAAGCTCATCCTTGGATAGCTCAGAGCTTGTGAGAGTGCACTCACAAGGAAGATGAGACTGGATGTTGAGCAACTTACTTACCAGACATTACCTATAGCAGAGTGTGTCTGCATTTTTCACAAAAAAACTCAGTTGATGTTATGGGCTCTGAAAAACAGAAATCAAGTTGCAGAAGTGGAAAACAGTATTTCCAGCTCTGCCTCTACAGGGTACTTGAAAAGCAGCTTCTTTGACAGGCAGAACAAAAGATGATTAAGACCAAGTATGTTGTCAGCAGAAGTCACTGCAGCCCCACAAAACTAGCTGTTCCCAGCTCACTTCTTTATTCTCCTTCCTTTCTGTCCATTAATAGAGAATTTTGGGAAGGAGTTTTTCTTTCATGCTCATGCATTGGTCATGTGAAGACTGTGCATAATGACTGTGGAATGTCTGCAACAGTACTGAAGGAATACAATGAATGATCGGTGTGTTTAAAACTGCACATATGTGTATTTTCAAAAGCATGAACAAAAGTCTAGGAAACAAACCCGAGCAAGACAAGGATTTGTGAGTGTAGTTTAGTTTCTGAAGTCAGACACAGCCAGATCAGATGATTGTGCAGTGTGACACAGCCCATACCTTTTACAAATAAGTGTCCTTATAACAATATAGTTTTAATCCTGCATTCTAGTAAACATGTTAATGGTAAAGAAAATACATAATTTGTTAGATACTACACATGGAAACGTGAGTGCATTTGGTTGAGTTCTAAAGTGGCTTTTAGACTCTGCCAGTATCTTTCCTAGCCAAGTTATGTTGCTTTGGCTTAAATGTCTTCAGCTTAATTCTCTGAAATTGTCAGACTTTGGATTTCTGACTCTAAAGGATGGAAGAAAGTCATAAACTATATCATCTGCTGAGATTAAGAGAACATTTTCAAGATGCAGTCATTGAGGCATAAAAGACTGGGGTTCTGAGAGCTGTAAGGAAAGTACTCTGTGATGAACTTCACAGCTGTATCCAATATTTGGAGAAAGCAGCTTTGGGAGAGTGATGTGGCATAAAGTTGCATCTGCTTTTGTTGAGTGGAGCTCTGAGTGTGAGGGGATAGGTATGTAGAGTTACGTACCTGTTTCCCAGATGAGATTGTCAGATGCATGTGCTTTAAAGCCAAGGGAGCTGATCTTAAAAACATTGAAGAAATGCCCCTTTCTGCATTGCGCTCTAATGTTCAGGGTATTTTTGAGCCTGAAAAGTTTTGAGCTGCCTGCTACGTGTGAGGGACGTGTCACTGCTGGCACTGATACTTGTTTAGGGCTTCTCTCCAGCTTGCCAGAACTGTGCAGTCAGGAACAAAGAGCAACTCAGCAAAAAGCAGTACACAAAGGGCATAAGAGGCCCTTTCATCTGCTGCAGGGGAAGCGAGAGGACACTCCCCAGATAAGTGAGCGGAGATTGTGGGGGGAGCTGCTCTTGTGATTCTTGATGAGTCTTTGAACGCTCCCAAGGCTTAATGCAATTTTACAGGAAGTGATGGCAGCAGGAGAAAGTTGGTGTTTTATATGCTGTATCTTGGAACATTATGTCCTATCCAGATTCTTAGCCCTTTTGAAGATCAGTTTTCTTCTAGCTAACAGAAAGTAAATTGCTGATGCTGTATTATTGTGTGCTAGTCTTACACAAGTTTTTTTCACAACCAGAATTTTTAGTGGTATAGAATTACAAAGATGATCTAAATGATAAATCCAAAGGCTGTTGAATGAGTTGTATAACATTCTAATATTTAAAGTGTGGAGATAAGTGAAATACAGTATCTTATCCCTCATTTTTCCGCCACTAATTCTGTGAAAGGAGGGTTAGTGGAGCACTCAGAGGCCTCAGTGTGAGCCTTCCTGAGACCAGTGCTGAAATACAGTGCTACCAGGGGCTGTAATGGAGGCTGAGTGAAAAATTTATGTTTTCTGTGGAGTTGCAGTTCTTGAGGAAGTTCATGGCCCTTTGTTGCAGTCTGGTGACTCGTCTGCTGGCATATGGTTATGGATTCTCTCAGCCTTTAACAAATGCAGGGTAGTTCATTGTGTTTTAAACAGTGGAACTTGTAAGAACTAAGGAAGGCGTGATCACTAAAGAAGTAATGTGTAAAATTTAGGTTATGAAGATTAGGTTACAAATTTCTGCATGCTTCCAGTATCACCTACGTGCATGATCACATTATGCCTGCATTTTCAGGAACTATGAACTGTATCTTTGCTGGATTTTTGGTGGTAGCAATTCTCATTGTTCTTTACACAACTGAGGAGATGATGGTTCATCCATCTGTGTGTTTCTGTAATCCAGCTGCAAGGCTATTCAGCTGGCAACTGGGATACTGAGCTTTATGTAGTCTGATTTCTGAAGTGCATTTGAATAAGAAAAACGTCCTAATGACTGGGCCTGTAAATACTCCTGAAATAATGACCTCCACTTTTCCTTGTTAAACTTATTTTAATTTGCTTTATAATGACTTTCATCTCCACAAGGATTAGAATCTGTGTGTATCAGTTACCAAACCTAATCTCCTTTTTTTGCAACAAGTTTTTGTACAGTCAAGCAAGTTCCATAGAAGATCTCAGAGTAAAACATTTGTTTAGATCCGAGCTCTGAATCAAAGCCGATGCTGAACTTACTTGCCTATGTCCTGATCATCCTAGCCAGCTGTATTAGGTTGCATAAGTTTAGAGCTGTGTCCTCTCTCATCACCTTTAAATAGTAACAGAATCATCCTTTTAGACATTTTATTTTCCAAATATCACCTTATTTACAACAATCCATAACATTATTTTGAAATTAATTTATGAACTATTTTTGAAATTACTAGCAAACAGGGAAGTTACAAACAGAGCTTGCTTGAAGACTAATCTCGTCCTTTAGCAGTTTCTCTGTTGAGCTGTGTGGATTCAGCATATGAGACTTCCTTTACAGTGCATGTTCTTAGTCCTTGAACAGTTCGTGCAATTCTTTCCTGCACCAGTTTCCAGTTCTCCTTGTGTATCTCAAATTGCTGTGCTATTTATTAGTGAAAAGAATTTAAAAGTGGAAAGCTGCTTTTTACATTTTTTTTAACTTTTTTCTTGTAGGATGGATGGGAGAAGAATACAAAATGAGTGTTCTACCAAAAAATACCAG